TTTTATCTTGCCTCTATTTTATTTACGTGATCCAAATTTACGTGCGTCAACGTGCGTAGCCAAAAACGCGTCAGTGGAAATCAACCCTCAATTTCTGAAAGTCTGGATTCGCCGCTGAACGCCACGGTAATTACACAAAAACGCATAGTATGAGTAGGCCAGGACAACGGAAGAGTGCATATAAAATGAAAATATTCAGGTAAAGATTAGTGTTGAGGGTTTTTTTTAAATTATATAGCCTGCAAGCGGACTCACTAGTGACAGTGAGTGGAAATTTGGTCGGCGGAGCTACCAGCGCGCAAGGAAAAGTGAATTCCCACAAGTGAGCCTGTTTGAAGGCTAAAAAAAATATTCAAACCGATTTACTTTTACCTGGACAGTTTCCACTGTTTATTTCTACACTATCAATCGCTATATCCCCAGTGAATGAATTTCCTGCAATCCCCTCGAATATTACCTGCGGAAAGTGTTGAGCTGTAGTTAGCAATATATCCGACTCTTTCTTTCTGCTTATACTCCCTTTAGGTGGTGGTGGTGGTGGTGGCGCATGGCGATGATGATATTGACGACGATAACGATACGCTAGCTAGAATTACTACGTGCGCGTTCGCACACTTTTTTGCTCTTACCACTTCATTCAGAATAATGTTTCTCTCCACCACAATCCAGTAATTACTCTGTTGTCCGGAAATGTTAAAGACTTTGCTGTTTCCGCTGTAGACGTTAAGAGTTCCAACTGAAGCTCCATACATATGATAGTAAAATGAAAGGCATGACATTTCTCCGTTGTTTGGAATAGTAAGAACAAGCTTGGCTTTGTCGCCAGGTCTTCTTGGAGAGGATGTTTCAATGTACATATAATTTCCTTAAATGAAAAAGGAAGAGGCAAATATAAGTAAATATTACTTTAACAATCAACAAAGGACGATACAGTATGTTGCCCAGTATCCGGCCACCTAAAACAAAAGCTCAATTTTTGCCGCGCCCTTTTCAGTTTTCGGTAAACAAAATATTTCGAATGGGAGCTGACGATCTCAGCTTTAAAATGCAAGTTTTGGCGGGTTTACAGCTGGAGAAACAGTTGCAGAAGACACCGGTCTTGTTTAATATTTACGCTGTTTACTGTGCAATAAAACTACTGGTGTTCAAATAAGGATTGGTAATATGTGATATTTTTCAAGAAACTGTTTTATATTTAAAGTGAGGATACTTAAAGAAGTCAAGTTGTCAGAAAATTCATAAATTATTCTTGAAATTCAATTTATTTGGAATAACGGAGGCCAGAAACATTCACTAAGTATTGATGTCAGGTGCCCAGTGTCCGGCCAGTTTCTCTTTGCTGTGCAGAATCGATGAATTAGCTGCGTACTATCCGGGCAAAATTTATTTCATATCTATAACAGTATACGTAGTTAAAGATTAGGATATGTAATGCAATCTGTATAATGTAATTCTACTCAACTCCTTATGGAGATTCAAAGGCGAATTGATTTCGTTGGCACGGCTTGTGTAAAGGGATTGAGAGATGTGAACGTCAAGAAACAGGAATTGGTGGTAGAAAACGGCAGCCCAAATGTGGGGACTGAGCATGAAGAAATCAACAGGTCAGACCATAGGTAGCCCAAGCTCGAAATATAAGCATCGGCGAACATCGACATGGTTGCATAACACTCGAAATATAAGGATTTGTATGGAACAAAAAAAAAAAAAAAAAAACTATCGTTTCCGTAACCTACGAAAATCAAAGGATTTCAATAAAAAAAAAAAAAAAAAAAAAAAAAAAAACAGCTTACCTTACATAAAATGTGTGTTACCTCTCTCCTGTGTGGTCTATGGGCCGATTTATGGCCGTTTTATTGGTTGTACTGTAAACGGTTTTCTCTCTAGATAAAGGTTTACCAAGGTTGGGGACTCCATCGAAGCGGCCCGAGGGATCCACCCAGGGGAAACGGCCGTAAATTCGCTCCAAAGGCTCCAGTCGCCTCCAAATTCCCAATAGGTAACACGCGATAGTTCTCTTTTCCATTCGTTATCTTGCTTCAAGAAGCCTTTGCACCGAGAGTAAATCAAAGGTCGCAAATCTCTGCAACCTTTCCCGTCTGAAGCCATCGACAGAACCTTAGTTTGAACTCCGTGTTACCGTTGAAAAATAGCGAATTGGCCTGAGACTCAAATTACTCACACTCGGGGTGGGAGACAGTCTCTTCTTCTCGTTGACATTAATACCCGAGAAAGAAAACAATACTACATGGCAGAGTCACTTTTGACCGTCGGAAGGGCTCTCCTCCAGTTTTTGTTTTTGTCGCTTGTTGTTGTTGTTTTGTTTTGTTTTTTGTTAAAAAAAAAAAAAAAACCGGTTCGACGATTAGCTTATTGAGCTTGCATTTTATTGGAAAAAAAGATCAGAATTTTGTCTTCTTTGTTAGCTCCTCAAATTGTCCATTTTTTTTCTCCACATTTCCATCCTAGGTCAGCCGCTCGCGTAGTTTTCCCCACCATACCCCAGTTATTATATGTTATGTTTTGTTTCACGATGCTAGGTTCCCAGGTCGATTTAAATTTTTGAAATCGAATGCCAGAGTGACTTTGCAAGTGCAAGAGAAGCTTGTAAGTCGCTTGCCTGTCAAATTTATGTATAATTACGTTATTATTGTTTTGGCCGGATACTGGGCCTGGGCAACATAGGAGCTCTGCAAAAATATTCAGAATTTCACGATGGAAACGAAGGCAAAAAAAAACTGTCTTTCATCATGTTAAGGACCAAATAGATTGTCTCTGGGCCAAATTTCAGAACACTTGCGACCAAGAAAAGAAAGTTATTTCATTGTTAAACTGAAGTGGCCGGATACCTTCAACATACTGTACACATGTGACACAAGTGACCGACTTTGTGTTGTATTTTGCTGTTGATGTTTTTTTTTTTTGTTTTAACAAAAATGTCAAAAAGAGTTATCTTTATTTTCTTACAGCTTGCGTTGACTGAAAAGCACATAAAAAATCTATATAAGATATAAACTGCTCATGCTATTTGATTCCTAAAAGGCAGAGTCGTTGGCTGTTTACGCCCATTACTAGATAAAATTTTACTTCATTAAATATATGGCTCCGGTCACTTAATATTGTTTGGTAACAAAATAAATACGTGTAACGTAGACTAAAATATACTTCATGCCAATGACGACGGGAACTTTATTAAAGCTTCATTTCTTCTGCATTGAAGATGGATTTGGGAATAAGAGAATGAAATAAATCTGACCTGATCCCCCTTGCCCAGAAGACGGGCCAGTAGATGCGGACGCTGTTGAACCAAACGAAAGTGTCCAATCAAAGTCATCTGAAGAAGATTGGTTCCATCCGGAGCATAATCCATTGTCAAATGTACACCACACTAAGCAAGTAAAACAAACTAATAAATTAATTTATGCATTCATTCCTGTCTGTCCACCCATACATGAATTCATCTATTTATTCATTCTTCATTCGTTCGTTCGTTCATTCGCGGTTCTTTCAGTCATCTATTTACTCATTCGTTCGTTCGTTCGTTCATTCGTTCATTTATTTACTTATACTACTACGTGTGAAATTTCTGCAATTTGATTAGCTTAGAGCAGTGGTATTTCAGCTTAATTTGAAATACCTACATGTGAAAATTACAAACCTTTTTCAGGCAGTAGTATAAACACATAATAACATGATCAGTACGTGATATTTGGCAAAATACCACTCATGATATTTTAAATTTGTGTCAAACTTTCGTGTAACAAAATTACTTATAACAATTTCGAAATATCACTCGTGGTATTTATGCCAAATATCACTACAAATCATTATCATCATATATACTAATTCATTTTCCCCCAAAGATAATTAGTAAATTATATTTTTAATGAAGAAATTCCCAGCGTTTATAAAAGCAGTAGCACTGACAATGCTACAATTGCATGTTTTGCTAGAGTCATTGAACTTTTGCCAGTAAAAAACGTTGGCTAGATGATTACAGAAAGGGGACTTTTAATTTCCAAGAAAGGGTTATGTAACAGCTGTTTGAAATACTTACCTAACGCGGACACCGACTGGTTCTGTGGCGAAACAGCAGGCGTTATTGCTTGATAAATATGGTTGGTTATCCATGCTTTCAGTTCTCTAACCTTAGCATATACTCCATACTTTGAAGCATGCGCACATCCGTGACCCCAACTTGTCACACCCTCAAGAAACCATGTACCGTTGAACTCACACACCAGTGGACCACCACTGTCGCCTTGACAAGTGTCAACTCCTCCTGCATCCAGGCCAGCACATAGCATCGAATCATCAATCTTTCCAGGGTAGGAATTCAGACAACGTTGCTTGGAGACCAGTGGTATCTCAGCTTCCATGAGTGTATTTGGCTGGGACCCACCCGAAGACAGTGTACCCCAGCCTGTTATCCAGCACTTTTTGTTTAAATTGTCAAAAGGGAGAGCATGGCGCATATCAGGCAGGCAGACAAGCCCGATGCCTACTCCTAGATTTGCAGGTTTTAAGAGCTTAATCAGGGCGATGTCGTTGCTATAGGTCAACGGGTTATGATAGTTTTCATGACTGATGATCTGTACAACCCCGATTTCCTGTTCTGTTCCAACACTGCTAGTTGTTCTGTAGTGAGCTCCCAACCTTGGAAAATAAATAGGACAAAAGTACATACAATTCAAAATTAATATTTAGAAAACTATAGCAACTATAATAAACGACGACAATGGCGCTGATGATGATAACGAAGATGACGACGACGATGATGATGATGATGACGATGACAGCAACAAGGACAAGTATGATTAAATGCAAACGATCCTTAATAATGACTATCCTTTTAACACATGACCAATGTCATCGTTGTTGATGATTAATTAATTAATTTAATTATTATAATTATTACAATTATTTTTTTTTGACGCCTGATCGCAGAATAATTAATACAAGATATTAACGCACCAGAATCCCACAAATTGCATGCACAGAATCAGAAATCCCAGCCTACTACTGCATGCTGTCAGGATAGCGAGACCCAATAATTAGAATCGTGAACATAGGGTCAACAAAATAATCAACGTGAGCAGCAGTTCACTCTAGAAGCCATCAGAAGAAGTGGGTACAAGCTTCCAGCACAACGATTTCTAGGATCATTTGGGGAAAGGGGGAGGGGGGAGACGACCGTTGCTTGATGACTGGCTAATGATTGCCTTGAATACCACGACCAAAAGCTTGTCCACGCAAACAACCCCAGAAATTACTTTGCCCAAAGCTTGTACCTATTCTCCCCAGAGTTCCTAAAGTGGAGTATTATTTCTGGTTTTGAAATAAATCAAGCGTAACTTACTTTACTTTGATAGAGGACGGCGATATTCCTCTGATACAATGTGCAGCGGTCACCACCCAATAAGGGTCTACTAACGATCCGCCGCAAAACTGGCTTCCAGACGTTCTGATCAACATCACCTGCCACGGCCAGCTATTAACTCTTGTAACTGAACCACCAACAATTCGACTACTAGCGCTTGGTCGAGACCCACAAAATACTATATGAAACAGAAAAATTAATAAATAGTTACATACATAAAGTTTATTTACGTGTCAAGAGTGTTTAGCTAATGAAGCTAATTGCGGGGAAACTAGATATAAAAAATAAATAAATTTAGCTAGAATTAAAAATTCACAATAAAACTATAACCAAGAAACTATGCACTTATATGTAATTAATCATTCACATAACAATGAGTTAAAAAAAAAAAAAAAAACTTCCACGAAAGGCAAGCCAGGCAATTACAGCTGCAATCAAGAACATTAGTAATGTACGATGTCCATGGTGCGAATCGCACTCTTGAAAGATAGTTTGATATGCAACGAAGGTCTTCTCTTATCTTACCCTAAAGATAGAGTAAATTTTTATTATTGCAGAAGAAAAAGGCAATAGATTTCTCTGATTCCATTCGATAATTTTATTAAAAAACCTAGTAGGCTACATATAAGTTGTGTCCGGCTATGCGTGTGGTTTAATAGTAGAGAGCTGAGAGTGAGCTACAGCTCATGTATGGAAGTGGTATGGAGGCTAAAAGCAGGGAATATGAACCTTCGTGGCGCTTACTTCCATATCAAAGTATCTTCTCAGTGCCCCAGGATATTAAATCTGGAAGCGCCTTCCCCTTTAATTTCTTCGATGGAATCATAATCTTTTCAAACCAAACTTTCCGCATTCGAGACGGTGACGTGACCGGTCTTGAATTATAGGTCAGCTGGTGTTTAACAGTGACCCTGATCCCTGCAACATCATTTACTTAATGGGGTCCAAAAAATGGATTCAACAATTAGTTATGCCAAGTACCGATAAGCCCTTTGCTGCTGGTCAAACGACGATAAATATATTTCCTGAAGATTATCACCATAGCCATTACATTAGCACAGCTGTTATTAGGGAACCAAGGCATGTCATGTCCTTAGGTTAAAATCTCTTGACCTCAATTTTCATGTAGCAAGAAACAGAATTCAATGCAAAATGTGCAGTTTACCATAAGTGGTGGAAGCCAGACTTTCACTGGTTTTGTAGGCTTGTCCAGTCTCGTCAATTCCGTACACGCCAATTCTGTACCTTGTGGATGGTCTTAGCCCGGTGATATCTTTAGTTGTCGCACTTCCTGGGACAGTTTCTACAGCTAGTAAATTTCCCGCAGGACTATTGATAAGAATCAAGTAAAACCTGGCAGTCCGGCCAACGCTCGTACGAAGCGAAGACCACTGAATACTAAAACCAAAATAACTGGACATCAAAACAGTCACATTCCATCCTGATAGCGGTAAAGCTGAAAAAAAGGTAAAAATAAAAGGAACAGAGATTACTCGTACTGGCATATTTTATCACTTGTTTACTCCTGAAATACCACGTAATATTGCTTCCCTTCCATCGATCCTGAAGCACTTGCTTGTATCATGCATAAGGTCTATTCTACCCAGGGCCCACTTGTTCGAAGGCCGATTAGCGCTTAACACGGGGTTAAATTTAAACCAGGTTTATTTTTCTTGTTTTCAAAAGGATTTTCTCGGATAATTTTTTGTCATTTTTAGAGCTTCTAATCATCAACTTGTAGACAAAAATAATTAATAATGTAATAACATAGAAGATTGTAATTTCAAATTACTTGGAAAACAGTCGATGTACCAGTTGGCAAATATTGTCTATGGTCTATTTATCATGGTCTACAATATTTAGCACCTTTAATTAAGAAACAGTAAAAATGTCTGTGACTAAAACGTACCTGAATATATGTTGTTCTTCAAAATAGCAAACTTGATTTTCACGCTGCTTTGAGTATTTCCTAAATACACTTGAACTGAGATGTTACCGGACGAGCCAAACTGTACATCCAACAAATTCTCTTTGGTAAAAGGCACACACCCTCTATGATTGAGAATCTCGTTACCGCCTCCATCAATGATCTTCACATATTCGCTGTGTGGGTAAAACATGACAATCAGATCAGCTAAAGCGTTCTGTACACTAGCCAAACGTCCTTGTTTACAATGCTAGCACAAAGTTTGTTACGCTCAATACTGACTAGCAGTAACCAATTGTCAGGAATTGCGGGGGAACATTTGCGTTTACATGTGACTACTGATGTTGTGAGTGAATAGTGAATATGTACGTGAAGAATCGAATATACTCCTTTTAGTTTCAGTATCAACAGAGGAAATTACCCGGAGATCATCAAGGCGGAAATTGAATTGAACAACAAGGCCAACAAGAGTCAGATAGATTTCGACTAATTTATTCAAAAGGACAAAATTTTGCTTATATAAGCTCACAATCAAAACCGTAACACGGACAAGGCCCAACGTGAGGACGTGTTCAATGACCCAGAGTCGTTAAGACTCAGTAGTAAATCACGAAAAAGCTTACTTTGAAGCTTATTGAAGCTTTCAGGTGACAAGCGACGTAACATGGTTGGAAACACAAAATCAAACCCCTGTAGTGCTACAAATAGTTACTCGAAAATATGAGAGACAGGGAACAAGCAAAGTCAAACCTGGATTAACTAAGCTGATATGCTTACTAAAGGCTGTTCCCGCACTTAGCTGAGATCAGATCTCTACTTTCCTTTCACTTGGCAAATAGATTTCTGGCGGGCAAGGACAATCGAAAAGTCTCGTATTGCGTGTGGGTGTGTTTACGAATCAAAGTATCGAACAAACATTGCTCCAGACGTTTCGGAAATTTACCTTACTCTCGTGATTACTGCAGGGATATCGGATAGACCTTCAACTTAACACCAGGGCCTTCGCGGCCACATACCATGCATATTTGTTAGAAGAACAAAAACATCCCAAGGCTGTGAATGGATTTTGGAAAAACCGGCTTTACATCGGTAGCTACGTGGTGTAAGCATCATATAGTGGTTCCCAGTTAGTTACTAGAAGAAGTGTATATAGACGTACATATAGTGTATATAGCCCTACATAGCCCTACATAGCCCTACATGGCCATACATAGCCCTACATAGCCATACACCGCCATACATAGACCTACATAGCCCTACATAGACCTACATAGCCAAACATAGCCCTACATAGACCAACATAGACCTACATAGCCCTACATAGACCTACATAGCCATACATAGCCCTATATAGACCTAGAGAGCCATACATAGCCCTACATAGCCCTACGTAGCCCATAGACCTACATAGCCATACATAACCCTACATAGACCTATATATATAGCCATACATAGCCCTACATAGCGCTACATAGCCCTACATAGCCCTACATAGCCCTACATAGCCCTAAATAGCAATACATAGCCATACACAGCCCTACATAGCCCTAAATAGCCATACACAGCCCTACATTGCCCTACATTGCCCTACATCACCCTACATGGCCTGCCCTACATAGCCCTACATAGCCATACAAAGCCATACATAGCCGTACATAGCTATGCACAGCCCGCGCGCTTTGATTGGGCGAGAGGAGTGTTTGCATGACAGTATGTAAACATTGTTGTGGCGTCAAGATTCCGCGTTGTTATCATACAAGCACGAACTTGAAAACGTTTTGGCGTTCAAAATTCGACAAGTTTACTTTATTTACCCATTCCTTCATCCCAGAAACTTGAAAATCCTTACAAAAAAGGTTTGTGTATGACTATGTAGGGCTATGTAGGTCTATGTAGGGCCGTGTATGGCTATGTAGAGCTATGTAGGGCTATGTATGGCTATGTAGGGCTGTGTATGGCTATGTAGGGCTATGTAGGTCTATGTATGGCCATGTAGGGCTATCTATGGCTATGTATGTAGGGCTATGTATGGCTATGTAGGGCTAGATATCGCTATGTATGGCTACATGGCTGTGTATGGCTATGTAGGGCTATGTAGGGCTATGTATGACTATGTAGGGCTATGTATGGCTATGTAAGGCTATGTTTAGCCATGTAGGGCTATGTAGGGCTATGTATGGCTGTGTATGGCTATGTAGGGCTTTGTAGGGCTATGTAGGGCTATGAAGGGCTATGTAGAGGTATGTAGGGCTATGTAGGACTATGTATGGCTATGTATGGCTATGTATGGCTATGTATGGCTATGTAGGCCTATGTAGGGCTATGCAGGGCTGTGTGAGTGTGTGAGTGAGTGAGTGAAAACTTTATTTACCCACGGTTATTTTATCAAATAACTTTACATAAAGCATCTGTTCTACCTAAAAGCCGTGCGTTATTTAACTTACATAAAGATATAGATATATATCTAAAAGCTAAACTAAGAAAGATCGTACACAATGTTAAACCTAATGATAAAAAACATAAATTATGAGGCTTGTGTAGGTAGCAATTTGATACCACCTGATCTTAGTCTTAAATTGTTTTAAAGAAGTCCCTTCTTTTAAACTGGAAGGAAGAGAATTCCAGAGCTTAGCGCCTGCAGAAGCAAAACTATTCCTAAAATACCGTAAAATTCCGAAAATAAGCCCCGGGAAACATTATTTTTGAAAGGCCCTTTTTGAAGGGATTATTTTTGGAGGGGCTTATCTACGGTGGGAAATTTGCGTTTCAAAATCGATTGGGCTAGCCTTAAAGGTTGAAGTAAATTTACCGTTTTCGTTTTACTTTGTATTTGAGGGCAATTTTCCAAGTACAAGCCCCCGGGGGCTTATATTTGGAGGGGCGATTTAACGGAGGGAAACATGACGGCAATCACATGTTTCCGTCATCGGATACATTACGTTTACCTGTGTTTCCGTCGCTGCGTTTTCGGCGGAATCGTACCTCTTTTTCATACGTTTCCGTCAAATTTCCGTCTAAGGAAACAGGTGTTTCCACAAGCGTAAATGCGTGGCATCCTTGCGGAAACACGCGAAAACGTTCTGGAAGCAAGTCAATTTCATGTTTCCGTCAACGTAATCGGACGTAACTATTGCGGAAACACAAGTTTACGAGTCGGAAACCGGTGTTTTCAAGTTATTTTCATCGTAAAAAAAAAACGCTTTTCACCACCTTGGGGTGGTTTTCTCCCCATCTATATATAAAACCCATTTTTCCTTGACATTAAAAAAAATACCAAAGCAATCGTCCCAAGTATTTTTTTTTTGTTTTTATTCTCCTTGCTTCCTAAATTGACAATCACGCCTTCTTATAGTATTTATTCATTACAACAAAGTGGAATATGATTTGTCGGGTGAATGTACATTGTAGTCCTGAGTAGGACTGCTGTTGACAGCGACTAACGTTTTGACAACAAGGTGATCATCATTTTCGTGGGCATTGTCAAAGCATCAGTTCCTGTCAACAGTCCCACTAAGTACTATACTAACCTGTACGATCAAATACCACTTACTTATATGACCATTCTACTTCAGGATAATATTATATTATTGTGTCAGGAAATATTCTTACTCTTCTTACATGGTGGCCTAAACTACACAATTTTCTATGACCAGTACATAGATTCAAATGCAAAAAAATACATCAGCAAACAAAGTATGGCGACAGGGTTACATAATAATATATAGATTTAGCCAGGGCTAAAAGCGAGGCTCCCATTAATAAATTTATAATTTAACTTAAACAATAAACTTGTAGTCGAATTCCACAATTCAGTTAGCTTTAGAGCACATTTATGTTACTTTTGAAGGAAAGGCTACCTGATTTTAATTTGCAAACAGCCCAAGAGTGAACCAAATCTTATATCGAGTTGATATAGCCTCATATGTACACCCAAAAACTGGTAATTATCCTCGATTCGATTACATTTCAGAGCAATAATGGCTCTTGATCACCGTAGATTAATTAGGCTTGGAAAACAAAAAATCAGGCCAACTTTCTTGCGTTCGACAAGTTTACTTTGCAAAATCTTGCCAACAAATCTTGGCGCGTGTAAACCAACCTTTTATACCATGGACAGAAAGCAGTATTTCACAATACAAATTGCACTCATTCAACATTCAAAAACTGTTAAAAAATTTCCAAAATCACCTATACGGCTATCTGGTTATCACTTTTATAGTGCGAGCTGTGGCGAGTGTTTGAAGTAATATATCAAACATGAGACGCAGTGTTTCATCACCAGATGAAACACCAAGAAGAGAGTTGAAAATACGACGCGCAGCGGAGTATTTTTGACGAACTTCGAGGTGTTTCATCTGGTGATGAAACACGGTGTCGAATGTTTGATATTTCTTCTCAAACAAAATCATTTTTGAAGAGAAATTAAGGATGCAAATACTGAGCAATTTTTCATCCGATTTCCAAACACTCATTAAACATTAATTTTCTTTGTATTTTCTTTATGAATTATTAATGAGTTTGAGAAGTAACATTAACAGAGTTACGCTCCAACATAATAAAGAATTTGTTATGTTTATTTTTTATTTAATGGTTTAACGCGCGACATTTTGAGTACTCCTGCAAGCGATGTTCACTGAACGACTGAAAAGTCTGAAAACAATTCGCACAGCGATTAACATTACAAGTGAGACTACTAACAATCAATATAAGAAATATAACTCGGTGAAACATATACAGAGACGACAATTTTCATTCAGGAAGACAAGTATTAAAGTGTCCCTAAAAATCCTGAGTCTTCAAGCTTTAAGCTTAAGTTTATATGTTAAGCAGGCTTTCCGGTGTTTGCTTTTTTCAAAGACAAACTCGAGGCAAGAAAATTGCAAAAAGTTTTCTTTCCCGGCAAGAATTATAACTAAATATTCTTTGGAACTTCTTTTTATTTGCGGTGAGAAACTGTCTTAAGGCTTTTTAAAGTTCTGTAAGCTTATATCAAACCTGATACTCGGTCAGATCGTTGTCTCAAATCTTACAAACGTGCATAAACTTAATACCCGCATAAACGCGCTTGACTTCATTAAATTAGATATAAAAAACAAATCAAATACAATAATTTCTCTGGCTTACCATTTGAGATGCAGCTCCTGAAAGATATCAAGTAAAGCCAGTATCTCCTCAGACTTTGCAATCCGGTTA